AAAAAAAAAAAAAAAAAAAAAAAAAAAAAAAAAAAAAGGGAAAGTTTAAAAAAAAAAATTTGGACAAAGTAAGAAAACTGTTTCTGTGCTTGTTTCATTTGAATTAAGATGGTTAAAAGCAGCATTTTTCTTCTGCATAGGAAAGTTTCAAAGCTGTATTAAGTCAATGTTCAGTGTAAACTTTTGAAAGAACAGCCATAACATTTTGTTCAGAGTTACAAACGTTTCCGAGTTATGAACAACCTCCTTTCCCAAGGTGTTCGTAATTCTGAGGTTCTACTGTACAGGAAACTATATAATGTAACACAGATTTTCTTGGTTTCCTGCTGGATTTGGCAATATCTCTCTCTCACTGCAGAGGATCCTACTTTATAACATTTGCAAAATGCAAAGAACAAGAGATGAAAACATATAATATTCAAAGAGATCCTTTTTCTTATCATAACAAATAATCATTTATTAAGATTTTTAAACCATGAATTTAAATAACTAGTAATAACTTATATCTGTTCTAGTTGAATGTTCTCTTTTATCTTAAAACTATAGAAAAGAAATTAAAAACGTCTTTTAAAATAGGTGCAGTTGTGTTTAAGAAAAGCACTGAAGTATGCCTCAAAATTGATGGTCGATATTTTTATTGTGGGTCTAAAAATAATTTTGTATAGTATTAGCACATGCTCGTTTTGCATAGAAATAGAAGAAATTGTGTGTTCATTTTTTGTTGTTGGCACCGATATTAAATTTGAAAAAAGGGCTTGTTGAAGCAATAGGGATTTTAAGATTTGAAAGAAAAATAGGTAAAGTAGTTCAGTTAGGGTACCCCTCCACTCTTCCAGTGATTCAGCTTTAATGCAACAATTTCCTTTTCCTCTCACTAACATTTTTGCACCTTACTAAATGCTGTTCCTATGCATAGAACATTCTCCCTGTTCTGGTCTGCCAAGGCACTCTCCTTTTCATTTAAATCCCTTCTGAAAACTCACTTTTGTCTGCAAGGCCCACAGTGAGTGAGTCAGTTATACTCTTTATTAATTTTTATTTAACGAAACACAAAACGTAACAATCCTATTATTGAACTCTTCCTTCTCCCTCATCTCCCCTCTATTGTTTGTCAATCTCCTTTGTTGTGTCACGTCTGCGTTTTACATTTGAGGAACACTATATCTTCTTTTACTATATGACTCGTGTGAAATGTTTTGCATGCTTGTGGTCAATATAAAATGATAAAAAATTCATCATTAATGAACTTTTTTAATGATATTACTGAAAAGTAAATAAAGTTCACGTTTCTAAAGAGACTTTTTACCATTTGAGTGTGTTTAAACCCATGTCTGCTCATTCACAGGAAAACTTGGCATGGAAGAATATGCTGTTTTTTATCCACCAAATGGTAAGAGTTATACTATTGCCTCCTCTAGTGGAAGATGGGAAAATTACTACTTTTTGCAATGCAAAAATAAGCTAAACTTAACAAATAAGCAGAATAAAAGTGAACCTTAGCCAGTAGTATAATGAGATTAAAGTTATTGGGCTAGAACCTCACACTGGGTTATGTTGCTTTGCGCCACTGCAAAGCCAGGTTAATTCTAGCTTTATTAGCCACTTGAGCTTTCTCTTTGTGGGGGAATATTTTGATGGCATAGGGTTGGGATAGCAGCTCATATTTCAGTCTTCTTGATTCTTGCTTAGGGGACCTGACTGGAACACCACTTAATCCAGCTAATCCCCAGCTGCTCAGCACCTCTAGAAAGCATGCCATTGAGATGCCAATTTTAGGCTTCCGCTTTTGAACATTTGGTCTTGATTTTTAGACACGAATGTATGAATATATTCATCACATTAATGCTATTAATGTTACCCTTATTGCTGCTATCTTTTTTTTCTCACTGGTCATTTTGTCCATATCAACCCCGCTCCCTTTTGACTTCTGCTGCTGGGTTTTCATTGCCCTTTATATCAAGTTCATGCTCTTTGTCCTTGCTTTCAAGGTCCTACGTCACTGGTCTTGTGTTTGTATCTCTAACCTTGTCTCCTTTTGCGTCTTCTCCATTCCAGCAATGATGCCAGTCTTGGCACATCCTCTGTCACATTCTCCCACCTCTGTCTCCATGTATTCTTTTATGCAGCCCCCTAAGAATGAAGCATCCTCCTTAGACCCATTTGCCAAACACTTCCCTCTCCTCATTCAAATCCTCTCTGAACACTCATTTCAGCCATGTCACCTATGGGAAGTGAGATGATTTGGAAAAGAGGGGAAAACAGACAACACAACTGCCAAGATGTCTACATATCTTTACTGGGTACTGCATGAACTCATTATTGTAACTCTTTCTTTTTTCCTCTGTTCCATCCTTCTTGTCAGTGTATGGCCCTTGCTGGTTGTGTCTTATCTGAAGTTGGGCCCTGATTTCATGAAAGCACATAAGCACATGCTTAAAGTTAAACATGTGCTTATATTCTTTGCTAAATCAGGTCCTTAATCCGATCTTACAGGTGCGTAAGGACATGCTTAACTTTAACTATGTGAGTAGTTCCACTGAAATCAGTGGGACTACCCCCTGTTTAAATTAAGCATGTGTGTGTTTGCAAGATCAGGGTCTAAGACTCTAAGCTCTTCAGGATATGGAATATGTCTTTAGTTGTTCCTGTGAAACACAAAGCTCAGTTTAGGAATTTGAAAAAGCAATAAATATTAATACTTCTATGGATAAATAGATAAAAATAAAAGGATAAAAGAACCCTCCTTATTTTGTAGGTGTAATTCCTTTTCATGGCTTTTCAATGTATGGTAAGTATGACTTTCAAATATTACTATTTTTAGTAACAATTCTGCATAATTTTTTGTAAATAAACCACAGTTTATATCACACCATCCACATATTTTTGGTAAACTGTAAACTATTCTTTTATGCATTTTAAACATTTATGTATTGCACGTGTTTGTGTATCCAAGGTGTGTATGCATAATTAGAAAAATGTCCAGACTGATCTCATTTGCTCTTGTTGTAACTTGCTAACGTGGGAGTCCCTATACAGAGAACTATTATTGGAGCAGCTGATCTCTAGGTCAGAAGCTAGCTTCATTCATGGTAATTGAATTTCAGTGTACACAACTGGGGAGAGAGGATGTCTTGCCAGGCTGCGTTATCTTTGTGCTGCAAATAGGCAAGAAATGTGTGTGAAGAGTGGTTTCTTATAAAAGTGAATTGTATGTAAAAGGCCCACTGGCATAAGCACGTGGCTGGGACAGGTGGTGAGTGGCATCATATAGTGGAATGTTCATGACTTACTGCTAAGAGGAAAATTACAAAAATGTCTTTTGTGAGTACAATGAATAATTCACAAAACATTAGCAGCTTGTTAATACTGGATGGTTTGGGCTCTCTCCCTTTACTGCATTAGTATGTCTTCTCTGGAAATCCTGATTTTAAAAAAAAAAGTTTAGATTAAATGAACATGTCATTATGCCAACAAGAATTCCAGAAACACATGAATTCTGTATTTTGTGAAAAATCCTTTAGCACTCAGAACTGACAAGGCAGCTGGTACAAATGTACTAATTAAAACTGGTCCTGCCTCAGATGATGATGGAATGTTTTTGTTTAGTTAAGTTTTTGCTTTTTCTGATAACTTTCAATAGCTTTTCTGTTGTGAAGAGCATAGGTAGCCTGGGAAGTCAGAATGGGAGAGAAGCACGAGAGGTACTACTCCTAATTAGTAACTTGCATTCCCTACCATTAACAATACAGATTTAATCATTATTCTCTTCACTGTTTGAGCTACAAAAGATGGAGTGTCACTTGAGTATGGAATCCAGTTTGAACCCTGGCTGGCATAGAGAATCTGGGTCTTCTAAGTGCTTGGTTACAAACTCCTCCTAACCTCCTCACAGTTGATAATGTTGAAGTCACAGCCAGGAGTCCTTCACTTTCTCTACCTGACTGGAGGTCTGTTTTAAAAACTGGCTCTTAAAATGACTTAATGTTTAGAGTTGAAACAACCCTTCAGAAATCCACCCAGCTTAGTTTAATTAGATAGCAATTTTTTGAATCAGCTAATTTTTAAAGGACTTCATAATGGTTGCCCAGTAAATGTAAATTTTCATCCAGATCTTAGAATGAGTATGCAACTGTCCATATATCCTTTGACTGATTATACTTATATGGTCTTCATTACTGAAGTATCCGAGTACCTCATTGTCTTTTGTGCATTTACCCTCACAGCATCCCTGTGAGGTAGGGAAGTGCTATTATTCCCATTTTACAGATGGGGAACTGAGTCCGAGAGAGACAAAGTAACTTTCCAGCATACACAGGAAGTCTGTCGTGGAGTACGAAATTGAATCCAGGTCTCCTGAGTCTCAATCTAGCACCCGAACTACTGGACCATCCATCCTCAAAACATATTTTTGATGCTCATGCAGGGCCGGGTCTATGGAATAGGCAGGATCCAGTTGATTCTGCCTCTTGAAATCTATAGAGTTGTAACATGGGCTACAACATTCACCTTTGCTTGTCATTTCTTTTAATTATAGGATGTAATATTAAAAATAAATATACCTTTCTAAATAAATCAGAACTAATTTATAAATTTATTATTCTAAAGAGATTATTGGCTCGTTTTTCCTCCTACTTCATGCACTTGCTCATTGAACTATTTTAACAGTTTACAGCATTGAGTCAATTAAATTCTTTTATCATTTCAGTTGCTCCACTTTGTTTTCTGTACCATGAACCTTCCAAATTGTATCAGATATTCCGTGAGATGTATGTGCGTTTTTTCTTCAGACTCCATTCCATCTCTTCTCATCCTTCTGTAAGTTCATTAGGAAATAACACCCAATCAGTCTATATTTCTATTTGTTATTGAACAATAATGCATAGTAGCATGATTTTATTTTCTTAAGTGTACATGGCTGAATTATATCTCTTTAACTATGATAAAAATGCCACACACGGCTGAAGTAACATTATACAACTTTATTTGAAATCCTATAATTTATACCTCAATAATAGTACAATTATCTCGCAAAGACATATTTAATAATACAGTGGTCATGCTGTCAGGCTTTGGGGGGAGCCAAAGCTTTTATATAATATAGGCCTCAATTCAGAACAGTACTTATGGATGTGTTTAAGTGCCTTCCTGAATGAGGCCAGTTAGTTGTGTGTGTGATTCAGAGGTAGTAGATGATGGACTGCAATGTTCTTTGAGTTACTCTGTACTAGAATTACATTGGATACCTCTATTATTAATGCTCAGTTCTCATAAGAGTCTTATAGTTTATAGGGTTAGTCATTACTAGTCATTTTCAAAGGGGTCTCAATTTAGCCCCTTTTTACTCATGCATCTTTGTGTATAAACATACTTGAATGCACTTTTTTAAGCACTATCATATGCAGGTGATGGAATTTGTGTTAATTCTATCACTTGCATGTGCAAGTGTTTGTGCATGCAAAGTTGTTTATACAAATACAAGTGAATTTTTGAAAGTTTTGATTGCCTTATTTTTTGTTTATGCTGCTCACAGTATTAACTATTAAAGTATAACATTTTTCTTTTCTATTTCGTATAAAATCTGGTTGTTATACATTTTGATAAAATACTTTTATTTAAAAGAAAATGGTATTCATTTAGCTAAGCATACAATTTTGAAAATTCCCATGATTACAAGTTCTTCTTGCCCTACATAAGCTATAAAAAAGGTTTTAAACTGACAAGTGTTTTTTCCATTAAGAGATTTTATAAATGAAGAGAGCAACCATATTTCCAATTATGTAACAATGTATTATGAATTATGTGAACAGCACAGAAGAATGTCCAATAAAATTAAAATATAAGGGCCATTAAGAGTCCATTGTAATACAGATTTTGTTAAAAAGTGACTTAGAGCTGATCCTGCAAATGCTTACTCTTGGGAATACCACTTAGTACTGTGAATAGTCACATTGATGGTCAAATAAATAAACAAACATCACAGTGGTAGATATTCTGTTTGGTAACAAACAAACATTTACACGATTGGGCCTATGCTTTGGGATATTAGCAGCATAGTACCCCAGTGTATGGGAATGTAGGCTAGTTTCATGATTTTTAAAAGGAATTTTTAAAAAGGGGGAAAATTTTAAATGTTATTCCACAGTTTAGATCACTTAACTTGTCCTTGTTTGTAATAATTTGATTTGTCACTTTTTCTAATTATAAAAGATAATTCAAAAAGCCCTGTTTTTGTCAGTGACCAGGTGTAGTGTAACTGGAGTCTATTTTATCAGACTAAAACTAAGACCACGTAGGTTGTGTACTACTGGGTCTTTAATAGACTTAGAGACAGATTTTTAAAAAGATATTTAGGCACCTAAAATACAGATAAGTGCCTAAGTGGGATTTTCAAAAGTACCTAGTCACCTAACTACTATTGAAGTCAATGGGACGTAGTCATTTAAGTGCTTTTGAAAATCCTGCTTAGGCACCTATCCGTATCTTTCAGTGTCCATATACTTATAAAAATCTGGCCTTTAGACCTTAACCCTACAGATATTACACATGAGTGACTTGGAGTTGAATGTGACTACTCATTATTATATATACAGTTACTCAGGAGTGGAAGTGCTTGTAGGATCAAGGCCTTAGAGGTTGAAGGTATCTGGTTTGCTCACGTTACTCTAGTTGTGTATCACTGATGTATCAATGGTTTGTCTTAATGCTTAAATTAAAACTATATTAATATTTAAATTTGAATATATGAGTAATAGTGAATATATGTTTTCAGGGTGTGGTGTTGTTGTTTTGCTAGGGCATCGTGTCACTATGTTTACTGTTTGAGACACTTCTTCAAACCCATCTCCCTCAGCTCTTCTATCATCTTCGAGAAATTGGGGCGCAACCGTAAGTACTTTTTCCCTGTTTCACCACTTATTCATGACAATAACTGTAACTCATGTTGTTCTAGAAATGCTGTTCTGTGATATTGTAACTTAACAATTATGGGGAGATTTTTAATAGCCCAAAGGTCAGTTAAGTGTCCAACATACATTGAAAGTCAATTGGAGTGGGTTGCTTAAATTCCATGAGTGCTTTTGAAAGTCTTCCCCTACAGGTCATAAAATAGAAAATGGGCTTGCATCTTTTTAAATTCCAGCATGAAGCACTGTACTTCCCTCTTTGACAATTGAAGGGTGAGCATATTTGCTTTGTTTGGGCATACCTTAAACAAACAATTTGTTTAAGGTATGCCCAAACAATAAAACCCCTGAGAATAAGAACTCATAGGAATTCCAGTATTGCAGCCAAAAGGAACTTCACAAGAATTTCCCTGGCCTACAGGGTAGATAGTATATCAGGAAAATCCTTAAGATCTTTTCTGCTTTGTATATAAATGCCAAATTCTCAATGTGTGATTTTACCCAGAGGCCAGATTCTACAATTAAGATTGGATATTAAACAGACTTCTGCTTTCTTTATATTACATTTTTGACTGAATTACTGAAAAATGAACTCATAGGAACCAACTCACTGAAATAAGGATCTGATTTCCAAACAGATTTCAATAATTCATGCCAGATCTGCTAGGACTGTCTCAGTTTATTTCTTAGGGAACTGATGGTTGGATTACAGTGTGATACTGATCTGGCAGCTTCTCAAAGAGAGAATATTAAAAGAGCAACAGTGAATTATCCTAATGCAAAGGAAAGATGGGAAGAATAGTCAGAGGCCCATATGGCTCCATCAGGAGCTCTTTTATGACCTGAAAATCAAAAAAGGAGTCCTGCAACAAAATGGAAATATGGACTAATTGCTAAGGTTGACTACAAAAGAATACCACAGGGATGTAAGGACAAAATCAGAAAGGCAAAGTCACAAAATGAATTACACTTAGCAAGGAACATAAAAGGAAATAAGAAGAGGTTCTGTAAATACACCAGGAGCAAAAGGAAAGTGTAGGATGAAGGAAAATCGTTCTCTATTTAGCAGGGAAGGAGAGCTAATACCAGACAACATCAAGAAGATTGAGGAGTTTTGCTTCAGTCTTCACTAAAAGGGTTAATGGTGACCAGATATTCAATATAATAAATATGAACAACAAGCGGGAAAGGAACACAAACCAAAATAGGGAAAGGACAATTAAAGAGTATTTATATAAGTTAGATGTATTCATGTTGGCGGGGCCTGGTGAACATCTTAAGGAGCTAGCTTAGCAAACTCGGAAACTGTTATCAATTACCTTTGAGAACTTGTAGAGGATGGGTGAGGTCCCAGAGGACTGGAGAAGGGCAAATACAGTACCTGCCTTTAAAAAGGGGAAGAAACCGGACTCCAGGGAATTGTAGATCAGTCAGTCTAACTTCAATACCTGGAAAGATACTGGAACAAATTATTAAACCATCAATTTGTAAGCAACTAGAGGATAATAGACTTATAAGGAATAGCCATTATGAATTTGTCAAGAACAAATCATGCCAAACCAATCTAATTTCCTTCTTTGACAGCCTAGTGAATAGCGGGGAAGTTGTCTAGATGAAATTACTAGAAGATGGATGCACAACTGGTTGAAAGTTGTTATCAAAGAGTAGTTATCAGTGGCTTGATGCCAAACTGGGAGGACACATCCAGGAGGTCATGTAGGGGGCTGTCCTAGATCCAGTACCATTCAATATTTTCATTAATGAATTGAATAATGGAGTGAAGAGTATGCTTATAAAATTTGCAGATGACAGCAAATTGGGAGGGGTTGCTAGCACACTGGAGGACAGGATTAGAATTCAAAATGATCTTGACACTTGGAGAATTGGTCTGAAGAAAACAAGATGAAATTCAATAAAGACAAATGCAAAATAGTACACTTAGGAAGAAAAAAAAAATCAAATGCACAACTACAAAATGCGGAATAACTGGGTAGGTAGTAGTACTGCTGAAAAGGATCTAAGGTTATAGTGGATCATAAATTGAGTATGAGTCGTGTGACTAAAAAGGCTAATATCATTCTGGGGTATATTAAATGCGTGTGATACGTAAGAAGTGGGAGGTAATTGTCCAGTTCTGCTCGGCACCGGTGAGGCGTCTAGCTCCAGTACTGTGTCTAATCCTGGGTGCCACTCTTTAAGAAAGATGTGGACAAATTGGAAAGTACAAAGGAGAGGAATAAAAATATTAAATGTTTTAGAAAAACCTGACATATAATGAAAGGTTTTTTTAAAAAGCTGTGTTTAGTCTTGAGAAAAGAAGACTGGCAGGGACCAATTAAGTCTTCAAATATGTTAAAGGCTGTTGTAAAGAAGACAGTGATCAATTCTTCTCCATGTCCAAGGTAGGACAGGAAGTAAAGGGGCTTAATCTGCAGCAAGGGAGATTTAGGTTAGATATTAGGAAAAACTTCTCAAATTATAGGGGTAGTTAAGCTCTAGAATAGACTTCCAAGGCGGGGTTGCAGAATCCCCATCATTGGGGGGTTTTAAGAACAGCTAGAACAAACACCTGTCAGGGATGGTCTAGGTGTACTTAGTCCTGCCTCAGTACAGAGGGCTGGACTAGATGACATCTCTAGGTCCTTTCCAGCCCTACATTTCTATGGTTCTATGATATGGCACTTACCAGCATAAACACTTGGAGCCAGAGACAGTCATTTCCTGTAATGTTTGTATAACACCTATTATAATGGGGCCCCAACCTGGTTCCCCTGTAGAGGATACTGTAATATAAATAATGATAGCTTTTCCCCAGATTTTTAAGAAGCGAATTACTAGAATCATAGAAGTTTAGGGTTGGAAGAGACCTCAGGAGGACATCTAGTCCAACTCCTTGCTCAAAGCAGGACCAACCCCAACTAAATCATCCCAGCCAGGGCTTTGTCAAGCCGGGCCTTAAAAACCTCTATCAATGGAGAGTCCACCACCTCCCTAGGTAACCCATTCCAGTGCTTCACCACCCTCCTAGTGAAATAGTTTTTCCTAATATCCAACCTAGACCTCCCCCATTGCAACTTGAGACCATTGCACCTTGTTCTGTCATATGCCACCACTGAGAACAGCCTAGCTCCATCCTCTTTGGAACCCCACTTCAGGTAGTTGAAGGCTGCTATCAAATCCCCCTTCACTCTTCTCTTCTGCAGACTAAATAAGCAAAGTTACCTCAACTTCTCCTCATAAGTCATGTGCCCTAGCCCCCTAATCATTTTCATTGCCCTCCGCTGGACTCTCTCTAATTTGTCCACATTCTTTCTGTAGTGGGGGGCCAAAACTGGACACAGTACTCCAGATGTGGCCTCACCAGTGCCGAATAGAGGGGAATAATCACTTACCTTGATCTGCTAGCAATGCTCCTACTATTGCAGCCCAATATGCCGTTAGCCTTCTTGGCAACAAGGGCACACTGTTGACTCATATGCAGCTTCTTGTCCACTGTAATCCCCAGGTCCTTTTCTGCAGAACTGCTGTTTAGTCGGTCCCCAGCCTGTAGCAGTGCATAGGATTCTTCCTTCCTAAGTGCAGGACTCTGCACTTGTCCTTGTTGAACCTCATCAGATTTCTTTTGACCAATCCTCCAATTTGTCTAGGTCACTCTGGACCCTATCCCTACCTTTCAGCATATCTACCTCTCCCCCCAGCTTAGTGTCATCCACAAACTTGCTGAGGATGCAATCCCGCCTATCATCCAGATCATTAATGAAGATGTTGAACAAAACCGGCCCCAGGACTGACCCCTGGGGCACGCCGCTTGATACCTGCTGCCAACTAAACATCGAGCCGTTGATCACTACCCATTGAGTCCGACAATCTAGCCAGCTTTCTATCCACCTTATAGTCCATTCATCCAATCCATACTTCTTTAACTTGCTGGGAGACCATATCAAAAGCTTTGCTAAAGTCAAGGTATATCACGTCCACTGCTTTCCCCATATCCACAGAGCCCATTATCTCATCATAGAAGGCAATCAGGTTGGTCAGGCATGACTTGCCCTTTCTGAATCCATGTTGACTGTTCCTGATCACCTTCCTTCCCTCCAAGTACTTCAAAATGGATTTCTTGAGGACCTGCTCCATGATTTTTCAGGGGACTCAGGTGAGGCTGTCCGGTCTGTAGTTCCCCGGATTCTCCTTCTTCCCTTTTTAAAAGATGGGCACTATATTTGGCTTTTTTCCAATCATCTGGGACCTTCCCCGATCGCCACGAGTTTTCAAAGATAATGGCCAATGGCTCTGCAATCACATCAGCCAACTCCCTCAGCAGCCTCGGATGCATTGCATCTGGCCCCATGGACTTGTGCTCATCCAGCTTTTCTAAATAGTCCTTAACCTGTTTTATCACAACTGAGGGCTGCTCACCAGTGCAGCAGTCTGGGAGCTGACCTTGTGTGTGAAGATGGAGGCAAAAAAAGCATTTAGTACTTCAGCTTTTTCCACATCATCTGTCACTAGGTTGCCTTCCCCCTTCAATAAGGGTCCCACACTTTCCCTGACCACCTTCTTGTTGCTAACATACCTGTAGAAACCCTTCATTGTTATCCTTCACATCCCTTGTTAGCTGCAACTCCAATTGTGCTTTGGCCTTCCTGATTACACCCCTGCATGCTCGAGCTTCCTTTTTGTGTTTAAGCTCACAGAAGATTTCTCTGTTAAGCCAAGCTGGTCACCTGCCATATTTTGCTCTTCTTTCTACACATCGGGATGGTTTGTTCCTGCGCCCTCAACAAGGCTTCTTTAAAATACAGCCAGACCTCCTGTGCTCCTTTCCCCCTCATATTAGCCTCCCAGAGGATCCTGCCCATCAGTTCCCTGAGGGAGTCAAAGTCTGCTTTTCTGAAGTCCAGAGCCGTATTCTGCTGCTCTCCTTTCTTCCTTTTGTCAGTATCCTGAACTTGACCATTGCATGGTCACTGCTGCCCAGGTTGCCACCCACTTCTACTTCCCCTACTAATTCTTCCCTGTTTGTGAGCAGCAGGTCAAGAAGAGCACACACCCCTAGTTGGTTCCTCCAGGATGGGTGTCTTTGGTTTTAGGGCTTTGGGTGGAGGTGACTTAGAACCCTTTCAGTGGGTTTCGTGGATTAGGAAATTTTATATTAATAAAATTGATTTGGAGCCCAGTCATAGAAGATACTGAATGTTTCCCTACAAGTCTTGATTAGGGTTTCAGGACACTACTGTAGCATAAATATTAATAATAATAAATACAAAGACTTGCAGGTCATGGAATTCTTTTTGAAATGGTGTATCTGTAATTTGTGAGAGAAATATAATACTTTCTTGTTTTCTAATTGTTTACAGACTACGGATATCATTTAAATGGATGGTCCGAGCATTCTCTGGTTACTTAGCTACAGACCAACTTCTGCTTTTGTGGGACAGAATCCTAGGATACAATTCTCTAGAAATTCTCGCTGGTAATGGAAAATTTTATTTGTCAATAATTTTAAAGATAATACATGCCAAATGAAAATAGATGTTACCAAGAGAGGAAAATTCAATTCCTTTTATATGACTGCTGAAAATAGATTTGCTGAAAGTCAATATATATTAAATAGGTAAAGCAGTAATTCATGCATTTTCCAGTTCTTACAGGAATTGTCAGTGAGTTAAATGGTTTTATTGTGACTACTTCTCCAATATTATTATTAGTAGTATTTTCTTTTGATAGCATTGATAACATGCTAGCTGCTTTGTGAACATAAAAGAAGGTTTGTATGTTCCCTGCCCCAAAGATAGTGTAGTGCATAGTCTAGTTTACATTAGTTTGTCACTGCTATACAAAAGATGTTGTTCTCCCTGCCCCCCACCCAGGAAAAGATGACTCCTTTACTATCAATAGGAGTCTTAAATATCCTCCTTATTTTCTACTACTCTATACCCCTGATCTTTAGAAATGTGAACTTTATTTACTTTTTTTAGTAACATCATTAATTAAGTTAATTAATTATAAATTTTGTATCTTTTTATATTCACAACAAGCATGCAAAGCATTTCACAAGTAATTTAGAGTGGAATTAAAAGCTTGTTTTTTTAATTGAAAATATCACACATCTGATTATTACAGAGGCACAGTGTGAGGCAAGAAGCTAGCCTGAGGCAGAAGCTCAATAAAATAAAAAGCTCTTGCCCTAAGAATAGACAATTAGCCTTTTAGTTAGATTTGCATCTGTACGACATATGTAGAGAGAGAATATCTCCCTTTATGAGAGAAACTAATTTTACAGCCCAAAAGCAACATAAATGAGCCCTTCGTTCACTTGAACAATGCATTGAAATTTTGCTATTTAAATAAATGTTTATCCTCTGCCTAGAAAAGAAACAATTTAAAATGTTATTTTTAATCATGTCTTTCACACAGTTAAAACCCAGTCACCTTAAACATATTACTCAACTTTTTCGAAAGAACACAGTAACATACTTATTCATTTTTTGAAGGAGTAGCCACATGGTAAGAACTAGAGCACTGAAATCCACTACTTACTATCCTTCAAAAACAGAATGATTGCTAAAGAGAGAGAGAGTGTGTTAATAATTTTAAATCAAGATTAATTCTAACAATTAATAGGTCAGCAGTTTAAATATTGTGCATTCTTTTTCAGTCCTGGCAGCTGCTGTGTTTGCTTTCCGAGCAGTGAACCTGATGGAGGTGACATCACTGGCTGCAGCTGAAGTAAGGATAAGTTTCAGTTAGAGGAGATTGAAATAGTTCTTGATGCATTGCCAACCAGAGCAATTTAAGCTTTAGAAGTACATGGCATGCAATACAAAGCTCTCTGCTTAAATTCTTATCTTAGGTAAAAACTCAGAGGAAGTTACAAGAATATAGTGCATAAAATTCCTTTTTTGGCACGTGACAAAAGCATATAAAATATTATAAACAACACACTCTCATTGAGCTCTTTGTGTATCTGAGATGAGTTTTTTCCCCACTATTTTAGTATATGGTCTAAATTTATTCTACTAATATGATTAAAGAATATTACACTTAAAAATTGGGGAGGTTTGTACACTCATTTTTATTAATAAATATAAAAAGATAATTGCTTCTATGCCTTTTGATATTACATAGATTTTAAAAGGTTGCTTTTATCAAATAATGAATTTGAAATTTCATCTTCATAAATGTCATCTTGTTATATATGTGAAAACTGGCCAGAGTGAAGGTTATTGTTACTAATTAGTATTTTTGTTAATTTCCCCCCCCCAAGAAGCTGATAAAATTCTATTCTATATTATGGAATGTTGGTGATGACTAGTTATATTTTTTTTAAATATATACTTCCATCAGATGATGATTCACTTTAAGTCATCATTAAAGTCACAGACTTACCTTACAAGTGCTACCCAAGACACAGGATAAAGATTCATAATGTACAGTTATTTTTAGAAGCAAGTTGAAATGTTAGACCTCTTGTGCCTGGTATCTTGGGTTTATATTTGAAGTAAGTCTAAAGGGTAAAATAAAGTGACTTTACTTGCTGTCTGTACATATAGGTGCACCTTTTTTTTTTTTTTTTTTTTTT